TGTGTTTCCAGCACTAACTGGCTACAAGTACTGCTGAACCCAGGACGACAATTTGCATAGAAGAGACACTTTGCATTGGCAGCACACGCTTCAGTGCTCTGGGAGTGTTTAGAGCCTTGTGAGTTTAACACTTCATAACTGAGAGCTACCCGTCATGGCAACAGAACCCACAGCAACAATGAATTTCATCACCATCTTCATCTGGACACTCCTCATCACAGTTCAGGGTATGATTTAATACTTATTTTTAGCAACTAAGATTCTTGCAAATTACATAAACCAGGTGAACAGAAAGCTGTGAAATTACAAAAAGTCTTCAAACATGTGTTTTGTCTTGTTTTCAGAATCCTGTGGACAGGTTACTTTGGCTTAGTCTCCAGCAGTGAAATCTGTTCTCCCTGGACAGACAGTCACTGTGAGCTGAAAGACCAGTACTGCAGTGCAGATATATGACTCTAAGCACAGACTAGCCTGGTATCAACAGAAGCTGAGAAGCTCCTAAACTCCTGATCTATGATGCAACTACCCATCAGACTGGGATCCTAGAGCGTTTCAGTGGCAGTGGATCTGGGAATGACTTCAGTCTGACCATCACAGGAGTCCAGACTGAAGATGCTGCAGATTATTATTGTCAGAGTTGACACTACCCAGACAGTAAATGGGTGTTCACACAGTGTTACACACTCGTACAAAAACCTCCCTCAGCAGGACTGCACAGCGACTGCACTGCTGTAGCTGGGACCTCCTGCAGCTGCTAAAGGTGAAGGCAAAGACAGGAGGAGATCAGCTGCACACAAACACTGATATTAGTTCAATGAATATGCAAAAATACATTCATCATGTCACTGTACTGACAAGAGGAGGATTTAGTAAAAAGTAGTGAGGACCCTATGCAGAAAACCAGGGCAATCTCCAAAGGCATAGTCGAAAGAACAATCCGAGGTCCAAAGCCGAAGGCAAACAAGCCGGTGCAAAAGTACAATTAACTAGAAGCAGAGCCAATAGCCGTGAAGAAGCCGAGAGTCAAAACCAGAACAAGAGCTAAAGTACCAAAACCAAAACCAGGAGACGTACACGGAGAACAAACCAGGGTCAAGAAGCCAAAAACCAAGTAGTAAGTATGAATGAGAATGGGAGTAGCTCTAGCCAGGAAAACCCTGAGCACAGTATGTGTAAAGCAGCATTAAATAGGCCGGGGAAAAGGGCTAATTGGGAACTGTGCTATAATGCGAAGTGGAATGACGAGTCCTCTGGGGGCGTGGTGTAACAGAGGCTATCTTTTGGACCACTACTACACAACAGTAAAAGGAGCATACAAAGGGCTTCCCAAACTAAGTTTCGGCAAGTCGGACCATATCGCTCTCCTGTTGCTTCAAACATTGGGAACAGGTCAGCGTGCTGTTGGTCTAAGGTGGCACAAAGCAGGTTAATAGACTGCTGTGATGGTACAGACTGCGACGCACTTCAGGATCATAAGTATTCAAGGAGAAATGGGCTGTGGTTGTTTGGTATAAAATGATTGGGGCGAAACATGGGTAATTAAAAAATCTAAATATACTAATGGAAAAAAGAAATGCAACACCTCCTCCTATCCACTTTGGCCCTCCCGTCTGTGTGGAATAGGCTGAAGAGGACATGATGCCACTGCTGACGAGTCCATTGCAGCCTATGTCTGGCCCTAGCCAGTCGGGTGTGAAGCCAAGGAGGTATGAGCAGAGGGATCCTGACAAGTCACCTTGCTCTAAGTCCAGCAGCATGGAGTCTCTCCTGCTCTGGTGTGGTCACTCAACAGCGATCAGATCTTGGACGGTCATCTGTCCAGCTGGTCTGCTGAAACCTCCTATGCAGTCGGGACACAGTGGAGCAGTTTACTCCATAGTGTCAGGGACCGTTTGTCTAAGGTTTAGTCACATGTGCTGTTCCCCTAGAATATGATTAACAGGTTCACGGAATCCTCCTAAACCACCTGACCCATAATCAGATAGTTTCCTCCCAAAACTCAGAGGAGACAGAAATCGTTGTTGTCTCTGTGTCAAGGGGAGGGAAAAAACATGTATTTTAACATCCCTGTATACTGAGTCAGTACACTGAGCCCAGTCAGAGCCCTTGACATAATTAGATAATAAGATTAACTCATTATTATTTACGGGAAAATTTAAGGAAAAGGATATTGACCATTTCCATTCCATCTAAGAATTTATTAGAGATTTGAGATTCTTTTCAGTGAATCAGGGTAGTTTTTCTCTTTTCTCTTGGAAGACTTCATTGGAAGCCTCACAGCAGCACTTTGCAGCCTGATCTCGTCGGTTTTCAGAAATTCAGTAAGTTAAGATAGTGTCAATACTGAGATCAGAGATCTCCAATTCCAAACCAGCTTGCTGCTGTGAGAGGTGTTGGTGGACCAGCAGGTGGAACCGAATACTTGGACCAGATTTCCAGGAACTCAGTGTAATCCTGCTCAGTATGAAAGGAACTGCAGTTTCAGACATGTGGTGTCTGATCTTGGCTGAGGAGCCAGTGGTGAAGCTGTGTTCTGTAGGATTATGATTGAATGCCTCTGAGTCAGAATCCCCCATGAAAGGTGACAGAAGACACTGTACCATGGGAGATACTGTCCACTGGATGAGCTGTCACACTGAGGACCTGACTACCTGGTCATTAAAGATCCCATTATGCTGTTTGAATGAACAGAAATGATAACCCTGGTGGCCTGGAATTCCCTTAATTCAATATATGGTCTCAGAAGCAGAAAACTACAACTTCTGTTGTCATGACAGATATTCACAATAAAAATGAGAATAAATCAAGATGTGTTTATTGTTGGATCTATGGCTTTATACAGAAACCGCATCATCAATTCACTTGAATAATATACACTGACTTGCAAAATTATTCACCCCCTTCCAATGACATTCCATTGTGTTGAAATACAAATGATCTCTTCCCATCAGTACAGTGATTTTTTTCATCATAATTATAATACTCAGCCTGCACTTTCTATAGTGGTTATGGGTGAAGACCTATTGACAGATTTCAATATGAGATTATTTTTTGCAGTTTTTGCAAACAATGTCTTTTACCCATTAAAGTGTTCAATTTTTCAACTTTTGTTTTAACACCTGTAATGGTGTAACTACTCCACTCATCTGAAATTGCTAATATAATAATACTAAAGTCATCTATACAGGTGGATGTTAACCTGCATGGTTTCTGCCTACTACATCTCCTACTGGCCTCTCTCTTGTTAGGGTTTGTGGGCCTCAAGCTCTTCTCCTCAGCCACAGCTAGAACTTTCCTTTTTCCTCCTTTTCCCACTTCCACGGGGTAGACAAAGGGTCTCCAGCCACCTTTTTTATATTCTGACATCCTCTTCCTCTCATATGAGCTTCCATCTCCTCCTCCCATGGGACTGTCAATTCCAATTCCAAGTATAGTCTTGCTCTCTTCTGCCCACACCACTATATCAGGACACAATGCTGTGCTGCAGATTTGCCTAGGAAGATTTGGAGCTGCCTGACAAGGTCCACTTCCATTTATTAATATGTAATTTTTATGGCTCTTCTGTGATCACTCAAAGCTTCACAGGGAATAGGGACTCCCCTCTACCACCACTGGAGTGTAATCCCACCTGGATGATGATAGCAGCCAATGTGCCCCAGGAGGAGGCCATGATGGGTAAAAGACAGGGAGAATTTAGCTAGGACGCCTGGGGTAACAGCCCTACTCTTTTCAAGAAACTCGCTTGCAATATGGGATATTTAATGACCATATAGAGTCAGCACCTAGTTTAGGTCTCATCTGATGGACAGCACCTTTTCATAGTATGGTGTCGCCATCACTATACTGGGGCATGAGGCTCGGAGAGACTGCAGAGTTAGCGCCTCCTATTGGTCCCACTAACACCTCTTCCAGCAGCAACCTTCTTCTCTCCCAGAAGTTACAGGGTGATATAGCTGATATACTGTATCTCAGATTGTGTCTAAGTGTACATAATGTAAACCCAGAGAGAAGTGTGTGTCTAAATGTTTCTAATGTAACCCCAGAGATCAGCATGTTTTAGAGCTTAGAGCTTAGAGCTGACAATGGTAGTGGTGGTGCCCACTATTTTCAAAACTGGTTAATTAACTTCAATAACTAGTTAACTGTAAGAGGAATGATGGTTTGTGACATAGAGTCCCAAGCTGGTAATAGGAAACTATGGAGAGGCTATAGTTATAGAACTAAACCACTTGGGGTCACAAGTGAAGGGTTGAAAGGGGATGATGAGGTTCTCTCAGCTGAGTGTGGTCAGCAGAGTAAGACTAATGAATCTCCTAAGAGGTCTGAGGCATTACCCTTTATAAACATCCTCTTTTCAGGACCATGATAGACAGTCTGGACATGAGGATTGCTGATAGCTTCTGTGTTGAAAGAACTATAAAGATCAATGATGCAATCTCACCTGTTAGTGAATCCAGCCATTAGCCAGCCAAGGGAAGACAGATTGAAACTCTGTCTGAGACATAAACTATGGAGCTCTAAATAAACAAGAAGCCAGTATTTCAGTGTTTAGCTTAAGTAAAATGTGATTTTAAGTGATAGCTGATTGTTGATTATGAAATATAACTGTGTATTTACATTTTTTAGTCTCTGTTAAACATGGTATCACCTCAACCAGTAATGTGTCTGAACATACAGAACCAAGTGTTGCTTTAACCAGACTCTCCAGACTCTTCTCCATTCATGCTGTGTCAAGTGGAGTAAGGCCTCTGCTGATTGTGTCTCATCCTCTCCTCCTTATAAAGCTGCTCTCTGTCTAGTCCTGCTGTTCTGGGAGTGTTCGTGCTAAACTGCTCATCTTACTCTGTCACAACACACAACACCAAGCCTGTGTTTCCAGCACTGACTGGCTACAAGTGCTGCTGAACCCAGGAAGACAATTTGCATAGAAGAGACACTTTGCATTGGCAGCACATGCTTCAGTGCTCTGGGAGTGTTTATAGCCCTGTGAGTTTAACACTTCATGACTGAGAGCTGCCCTTCATGGCAACAGAACCCACAGCAACAATGACTTTTATCGCCATCTTCCTCTGGACACTCCTTATCACTGTTCGGGGTATGATTTAATACTTATTTTTTAATAATATAGACTCTTGCAAATTAGGTGAACCAGGTGAACAGAAAGGTGTGAAATTACTAAAAGTCTTCAAACATTCTAATGATCAATTATCTGTATTTACTGTGTTTTGTCTTGTTTTCAGAATCCAGTGGACAGGTTACTGTGACTCAGACTCCAGCAGTGAAATCTGTTCTCCCTGGACAGACAGTCACTGTGAGCTGTAAGACCAGTCCTGCAGTGCACATATATGACTCTAAGCACAGATTAGCCTGGTATCAACAGAAACCTGCAGAAATTCCTAAACTCCTGATCTATGATGCAACTACCCATCAGACTGGGATCCCAGAGCGTTTCAGTGGCAGTGGATCTGGGACTGACTTCACTCTGACCATCACAGGAGTCCAGGCTGAAGATGCAGCAGATTATTACTGTCAGAGTTTCCACTACCCCAGCAATAACCGTGTGTTCACACAATGTTACACACCCGTACAAAAACCTCCCTCAGCAGGACTGCACAGCGACAACACTGGTGCAGCTGGGACCTCATGCAGGTGCACTTAGAAATTTATTTTGTTAATTTGTTAGATCATTTTTGACAATCATGTGAATACAAAAATGTATTTTTAATAATTTTAGGTGTGAAATTGAAGACAGAGACACTGATCACATCTGACATCTCTGATATTTTAAATGTTTTCCTTTTCTGCTTGAGAGAAATTTTTACTTCTGGTCTGTCAATCCATCACTCCAGCTAAATGTCTTATCCATCCATCTATTTTCTTGATTTCTTATTCAACATGGGGTCGCAAGGGGCTCAAGGCAGGATACACCCTGGACAAGATACCAGTCCATCACAGGATACACACACTCACACCAGGGGCAGTTTGACTAACAGATGATTATTCTAGCACCATGTGGGAAGAAACTGGAGCACCCATAAGAAAGCCATGCAAATAGTGGGAGAACATGCAAACTCCACATAGATAGCATCCCATTAATTGAACCCAGGTCCCCAGCACTGTGAGGCACCTAAGAAATAATAATTGTTTGTAGGTCAAAAATAATAACAACGCAAACTACTCTCAAATTGTCTCATGAGTATGGAGCTCTTGTCAGCTTCATAATATTCATTGCATTAACATCAGTGTTTGTGTGCAGCTGAGTTCCTCCACAGGCTTTGTCCTGTGTCTTTGTCTTCGTCCTCAGCACCTGCTGTAGGTCTCAGCTGCAGCAGTGCAGTCACTGTGCAGTCCTGCTGAGGGAAGTTTTTGTACGGGTGTGTAACACTGTGTGAACACACGGTTACTGCTGGGGTAGTAGAAACTCTGACAGTAATAATCTGCTGCATCTTCAGCTTGGACTCCTGTGATGGTCAGAGTGAAGTCAGTCCCAGATCCACTGCCACTGAAACGCTCTGGGATCCCAGTCTGACAGGTAGTTGCTGCATAGATCAGGAGTTTAGGAGCTTCTCCAGCTTTCTGTTGGTACCAGCCTAGGTGATTATTGTTGTAAACTGCAGGACTGGTCTTACAGCTCACAGTAACTGTCTGTCCTGGAACAGTAGATATTACTGCAGGCTGAGTCACAGAAATCTGTCCATTGCATTCTGTAAATCAATAAAACACAATGTGAAAGACATACAAAAAACAACATGTTCATAAGATATTCACAATTTTTGATTTTGTAATTTTGTTGTCTTCAACTAATTTAACTTAACTCCTTATTTTTTCCATATAAAATAAAAATATTGTAAAAATCTTTAAAGTATCCAAGCCCAATCCTAACCTGAGCACTGATGAAGAGTGCCCAGATGAAGATGGTGATGAAAGTCATTGTTGCTGTGGATTCTGTTGCCATGAAGGGCAGCTCTCAGTCATGAAGTGTTAAACTCACAGGGCTATAAACACTCCCAGTGCACTGAAGCATGTGCTGCCAATGCAAAGTGTCATTTCTATGCAAATTGTCTTCCTGAGTTCAGCAGCACTTGTAGCCAGTCAGTGCTGGAAACACAGGCTTGGTGCTGTGTGTTGTGACAGAGCAAGATGAGAAGTTTAGCATGAACACTCCCAGGACAGCAGGACTAGACAGAGAGCAGCTTTATAGGGAGCAGGGGATGAGACACAATCTGCTGTCCAAATCACATTCTGGCAAAAGTCAAGTCCAGTGTGAATGTCTTTATGAAGACAGTACAGTAGCTTTACCAAGAGGTGTAAAGGTGTTTGTGCGGCATGTGTAACTCACACTCCGCACACTTCCCTGATGCAAGTACAATTTTTCACTGCACACATAGTTGCTAACAAATGTTGGCTGCAGAGGTCTTATTGATTTTCATCACCCTGAAGAGATCATCAAGGGTTCTAAGTGTTACGTGTTCGAATGTAAAGAAGTTATCTTAATGTTGGTTTTGGTGTCTCTGAAGGCGGCTCTGAGACATTCTGTTTTAGGTCTGTCTGGGTAGCTACATTTTACAATTTTTACATAATAATAAAACAAGGCATCTCAATTAAACAAAAGCATAATAGGTACCGGGCAGTATGGAGGTGCTGTGGTTAGGATGCTGTCTTGTAACCACTGCTGTCCTGGGTTCAGTTCCTGGGGTGCTGACTGCATGGAGTTTGTGTGTTTTCTCTGTGATCACATGCCTTTCCGCTTGTTGCTCTGGATTCCACCAACAACACACTGATAGGTTAATTGGTTTCTGTGAAAATTGGCACTGGTATGATTGTGTGTGTGTTTGTGAATGTCTGTGTGTGCCCAGTGCTGGACTGGCATCCTGTCCAGGGTGTATTCAGCCTTGATTCTGTTGTTCACTGGGATGGGCTACAGGTCCCCTGCAATCCTGTATTGGATAAAGCAGTTAGAAAATGGGTGAAAGGGTAATAAGTGATTCCAAGTTGGCTTCCATAAACCCTTAAATAAGGTATTTCTTAGAAGGTTTATCTCAGGTAATGTAGGAGCATGGATCAAAAACTGAATAAAGAACAGGATACGGTTAAAAAAAAAATAATTAAGTGTTATCACCTCTGATTTGACTGATGTGAGCTGTGGTCAAACTCATGGATCCATTTTAGCTATAGTTAGCAAGCTAGTCAGATTTTTTTTTTAAAGTAGAGGCCAAGTACAGAAACATTGGCAAGGAAATTATGGACGGCTCAGAGCTGCAGGTGAGCAGTTCACAAAAGGTTCACAAAGGTTCACTCCACCAAGGGAGTCAAAATTCCCCTTCAGAGGAGGACTAAGGAAATACTGACGACAGGGGTGTGAATAAATATTGTAATAAATTCTTGTGTATTCAGGAATTCATTGAAATATTCATGGCAAATAAGGTGTTGTTCTGTGCAATGCTATTATGATTACAGTATACAGTAACCTATTAGAATTGTTTAAACTTGTGAAATAGTGGAGGTTTATCTCTGCTAGTCACCTCTAGAGGGCCCCTTAGACAAGGAATGCGGCATGCTTGTTTTTTTTTTCTGACAGCTGCATGGACATGCACTAATAATTTCCTTGACTGCACCTACTCTGCTTATCAGTACTGCTATACCAGATACTCACATGGCTGCCTCAGCGTTCACCTCAGAATTACACCAGTAGCACTTGAGCTCAGGCACAGAGATCTTTCTCTCTAAAAAGGAGAATAGAACTATTTTCTCATCCCTAAACAGCTGGATACCTATAGACCTGTTCCACATTGGCCTTCTACCTACTTCTGGGTTATTTGACATAATGCTGGTGCAAAACACAGTCCAAGCCTGTTTCATTTCTGTTGATGGTTTTTGAGCCTCTTTTGATCAATGGGGTTGAATAAAGCTGGGGACACTGTGGCTGGCTGTGTAAACTGTATGTTAATAATGCATATCAATCGAAACACAGTTTTTATTAATTGACAGCTTTAAGCAACATTGACTTGGACATTTGAAGGAAAAAGATGTGTACAGTACATTGTATTACTATTAGTACAATGTAGTACAAGTACGATTAGTAGTACATGAAACCAGCAGACAAAGGAGGAGCTGTTGTGGTGTGGTGTAAGGACCTACAGGTATATATCTTTGAAGCCTCTAGACAACTAACCGACACTTTTGCCTACCTCCCTCTCCAACAGGACCCTACCACTGACTACCATCTCCCTTCTTATCAGCAGTAAGGAGCTCCCCCAGGAGGCGAATCGGCACATCATTGAACATTCACAGGTATCACCTCCTCCCCAAAATCCACAAACTGGACACCCCTGGATGCCCCCATCACTTCAGTCTATTACAAACCCACGGATTCACACAGCTATCTCCTGTATAGCTCATTTCATCCCAAACACACTAAAAACTCTC